AACTGAGCCCTGAGAGTAAAAATGACAAGGTAGAAGAAATTGCCAACACCTGTCTTAGCAGAGATAGAGATACTGAGATAGAAATTCAAGATAGGTCCTGAGCTTTCTTGAGTTGTAGCTCTAGACCAATGATGGCAAACCCATTACAGCATTCAAATGACACAAACAGGCTGCTGCAGCACATGTGCCATATGTTCGCCACCACTGACTAGACTATCCACCTTGACCCAATATGCAGCCACCTTGATACTGAAGAACACTATCTACATCAGGGATTATATCAATGAAGACCAAGATTAATCAGGGCTATTTGATGATATAAGGAATCATTATAATTTCTAAGTGTTAATGCAATCATACACATCTATTTTAAAATTTTCTCTCTTTTTAGAAACAGATATTACAAGTGAAGTGATGGCTAGGCTTCTTGTCAACATAATGGGAGAACTGCATGAGGATATAGATGAAATGAGAGTCCCCATGTACTGTTCATTGAGAATGCCAGGAGATTCATTACATTACTTTCTCTGCCTTATTTAAAAATTATTCATTTATATCAAAGATAAATAAGAATAGCCCAAAGTGGATCCACTGCACTGAGCAGTGTCTGGTGAAAGGAAGAGTGGGACAATGACAAGACCAGCTAAGTAGTGGGTTTTGCTCCTGTGGGAAGCCCAGAGGAAGCACACACTGACACCAGGGTACCAGGCTATTGAAACTCCAGTCTGGCTAGCCTGGCCCATGAACAATTGTATTGAAAGGAGTGAAACACTGTTTGGTTTTTTCCTGTATTTAGGACAGGGTCTACAGGGTCTCACTGCATAGATCAGACTTGTAGTGATTCTCCTGTTTTCAGCCTCCCAAGTGCTAGGATTACAGGCACGTGCCACCACGCCCAGTCTCAATCACCTTCTCAGCACACCCCAGGGGCAGGGCCAGCACGGTATGCCAGGGATCAAACCCCGGCCTCTGCCCTCTGCCTAAGCAGGCACTTTAGTCTGCTGAGCTATCCGGCCGGCGCAGAAAGGAGTGAAACACTTTTAATGTATCTTTTCTTTACTGTTGCTCATACAAAGGTTCAGCAAGAACACAATAAATTCCTCTTCTATCTCCATATTTGCAATGTTAGGGAAAATATCATTTGTCACTGCTAATATTGAGCACTGCTGTAAATTCTATGGAATAAAATGGCTTTGGGGTCCAAAGTTCAGAAGTATTTCTTCAGAGGTATAAACCTTGGTGTTGAGTTTGAAAAGTAACCTGTTTGGGTTAGGGAGATAGCTCGGCAGTCTAAGTGCCTGCCTGGCAAGCGCAAGGACCTGGGTTTGTCTCCGGTACCATATGCCATGCCCATCCTGGAACCCTGGGCACACCATGCCAGTCACCAAAATGGGGCATGGTGGGACACAACTATATTCCCAGTGCTTTGGAGGCTGATACAGGAGCTGTATAATGAGACCCTGCATCAACTAACTAACTAATTAACTAACTAACTAACTAACTAACTAACTAAGAAAAAGGAAAAGTAACCTCTTTGATGTTGGGCAAATGCCTTCATTCATGGGAAAGCCTTGTCTCCTATGCTAAATGAAAACACCAGCACACAAAATTGTTTATTCTACCTAATCCCCATAATGTAAAATACACAATGATATGGAAACAAAATTAAATACTTTTTGTCTTAGCTGCTAAGCTGATGAGATGAGAAATTATACCTGTCCATTTAGTTTTCCTTAGGGTAGAGGCTGGCCTGGGACACGGGAGACCTGCATTAGAGTATGAGCATCTTGAAAGCCCAGGTTTCCAGCCAAGAAGGCTTCTCTAGGACCATGGGACAGTATCCAAGGCACTGTAAATTTGGATTATAAAAAAACATTCTACATCTTTCTAGGTATGGTGGCTCACATCTGTAATCCCAGCACTCAAGGAAGCTGGGGCAGGAAGATCACCATCACCATCACCTCTGGTTGAGGCCAGCGTGGGCTATACAGTTAGTTCAAGGTCAGCCGGAACTACACAGGGAGACCCTGTCTGACAAAAAAACATTTTTATTGTGTTATCTTCTAAATAAATTTGTGTGAATTCTTTATTGTGGTAAAATATACATAAAATAAAACCTAGCATATTAATCATTTAAAGTAGCAGGCAGCGTGTCAGTCTCCTATGGGATTAAGTATGCACATGGTTATACAACCATCACTATTACCAGATCAAAATTTAATATTTTATTTAATTTTGAATATACTCAGTGAACTGAAGTAAATTACCAGTACCTGTAACTCCGATAACAAGAGAATGCAAAGTATCTTTTCCTATCACATTACAGTTATGAATAGGTATGCTGAAGTAGCCTTCATGCTCCTCCTTGCTTTGAAATTAGGCTGCTATTTGAGCAGCAACCAAATCTTGTCATTTAATGCAAAGTTACTAGATTACAAAATAATTTTTAAATCATTTATCCATATTGTAGTATAAAAGTTGTGCTTGGGGGCCGGCCAGATAGCTCAGCAGACTAAAGCTCCTGCTTAGGCAGAGCTCAGCGGCTGGGGTTTGATTCCCAGAGTGCTGTGCCGGCCCCGCCCAGGGGTGTGCTGAAACAGCAATTGAGACTGGGCGTGGTGGCGCGTGCCTGTAATCCCAATGTTTGGGAGGCTGAAAACAGGAGGATCACTACGAGTCCAATCTACATAGTGAGACCCTGTACACCCTGTAGACTGTGTAATAAATACATAAAAAATAAATTTTAAAAAAAGTTGTCCTTGGTAATCCCATGTATCTTTTGTATTTAAAAAAACATCATTTTGCAAAAGAACTAACAGGTTTCAACAAACTACCAACAGGGTTCACAGGATACAAAAAAAAAAATGAAGAAACCTGCGGCAGATGTGTTCCTGGCTGATGAACAACTCATTAGATTGCTAACTCCCCTTAACGCACAAGAATGGTTCACTGGCAGGTGCCTTTGAGCTCTTGGAACTCTTTCCACTTGTTCTGCTCATGACGAAGCCTATGAGAATATGACACCACCTCCATGTGCACCTGTGCACATTCCCATTAGTATAAGCCTGGTTTTTGTATCCCTTAGCAAACAGTATTTGGTGGACATAAGAAGGTATTTGTGAGTAATCGGGAAGTAAATGTTAAAAAGAGAAAGGCAAAGGCAAAGCCAAGAAAGCCTAATGTGGCTAAAGGAGAGATGGGTTGGTGGTTCACCCCTACCTCCTAAGCCAGTCAACCTCATGCTCAGGGAAAGAAACCAGACACAGAAAAACAAAGCCTACATGATCTTCCTCACATGTGGAATGTAAGCAAGTAGACCCAGAAGAATGGTGGGCACCAACGGCTGGAAAGGGCACAAAATTTCAGTCAGACATAGAGTAAGATTGAGAGATCTACTGCATAACATGGTGACTTTAGTTCCTGACAATGTATTCTACAGGTAAAATTGCTAAGACTGTAGATTTTAAATGTCCTCACAATGGAAATAGATTATGTGAGATAATGCACATGTTAATCAATTTGCTTTAGTCATTCTACAGTATATACATAAACCAAAATATCATATTGTCACCATAAATCCATACACTTTTTGTCAGTTAAAAAATAGTTTTTAAAAACAAATCCATCAACAATGTAGGGCAACACTCAAAGAAACTAAGAGATTTTTAAATGCAATGAACACTCCTCAAATATACTTTTTATTAAGAAGTGGAGAAAGTAACACTTACATCATAAGTAGTATAAAGTTTAGGTCCAGCAACAAAGTAGCATGAAAATATTTGAGTAGGGTTTAACAGAACTGGCAAGCCCTTTACTATTCAAATTGGAATACATTTGCCTATTATATATTTTTTCTTACTGAAAACATTGGAGGGACTGGGAAGATAGCTCAGCAGCATAAGCACCTGCCTAGCAAGCACAAGTTCCCAAATTCAATCCCCAGTAACACAAAATAAACAAACAAATAAATAAATAAATAATTGGAATTTGGTGTGGCACTGGGGACTATATCCATAGGTCATGACCACTATTTGAAACTTGTTTGTACATATAAGAAATTTTCCCCATGCACCCCCAGTTCCACTCAATTGAAAGTATTTCCTACTCTTCACAAACATCTACATAACCTATGGTCACATTCTGAGTCACCATCAATGCCTCACAGGGCATCTACAGAGGTACGTCTCAGCGGTCTCTCTGTGAATCCAAATCCCTGATGCATGGCTGGCCAGGAACAGAGCCCTGCCTCCTGCCGAGCTGGTATGGTTTATACCTAGATATCCTCCATGAGCCTCATGTATTCATAGGCCAGGCTCTTGAAAGATGTTTGAATCATGGGGACCTATAGCAGACATGCTTTGTGATCTGGTCAGAAGAGGTGAGTCACTGGGGACATGGCTCCTCCACACAGGGTCTTCTTGCTGGTCACCATGACTAGAGCAGCTTTCCTCTGCCTGGCTCAACTGCCCAGCCATTTCTTGCCCTGAAGCCAGCCAGCTAATCATGGGCTCAAAACAAGAGCCCAAATAGACTTTTCCTTTAAATTGTGGGGTGTCAGGTACTTTGTCACAGAGACAAGAAAGTAACTAAAGCACACACCAAATAGATTCGTTCTTAGGAATTTGGAACCGAAAGGTGATGGTACTCCCTGGTGATTTGAACACTGGGCATATAAACTGGGGGATTGTGAGGTACTCATTTTTGGTGTAGCATATGCCAAGGCAGGTAGCAAGTCATCCCAGAGCAGGGCGTGGGTGCTCTGTGAGAAGCAGAACTACTTCCAGGAGCTCAGTTCCACCTTGGCCCCAGAGTCTGTATCCACATTCTAGAAATCTCCTTTGGGTCAGGACTAGTTTGCACAAGTCCTAACCATGGAGGCACATTCATGGCACCCAAGAGGGCAACTCATGACCACTGTGGCCCTCTCTTCCCAAGTCATCCCCAATATTCTACCAATCACTTCTGAAAGCAAGCAAGGAGTGGCTGCCTAACCAGCGTACCTCAGGTCTGCCGATGCTTCTGCGGACTCGTGCTCCAACCCCTTCTGACTGCTCCCGGCTGAGCACGGAGAGAACAACCTTCTTTGAGGAGCCCATGTCACAGTCTGCAAAGAAAGCCTTCTGACGCTGAGCTGGAGAGGATAAAGAGCAATTGGAGGAACAACAAAACAGAAGGCACAGGGAAGAGCTATCGAAGGACTACAAAATAAAGGATATTCAAATTAGACTTGCTTGAGATAGTGACAGTTCTAATTATTGGGTGCTTATTACGGATAAGGCCTGGATTAATAGCTTAAAACAATGATGATGGTGAGCATGTATAGTCACACTTTCCAGAGCCTGGTACTCCACTAATTATTTACAATTACCTCATATAATCCTATAGGCACCTTGAACAAGGGTTAGTAGTACCAGCTCTGCTGGGCCCTTACTTCTTCTAATGAGGGCTTCATCTGCTTTGCTTCACTGGACCCTCAGATATCCTCCCATATCCACATTGCCACCCCATAGGGCAGGGTGACAGACTGGAGGGAGTATTTGTGTGAGAACATAGGAAACACACAGTAAAACCACACAGTCTGTGACTGTCACCAGAGCATGCTGAAGATGTTGGCACTAAAAGAGATCTTTGAGACCCATCTATCCCACAAGTTCATGGCCAACACTTTAGGCAAGAAACCTTTGCATTTTTTTCATGAAGTTTTCTAAAGTGAGGCAACTCGTGATGTGCAGTCTTTGGCAATGCATCCATATCTTGGGACCTGCCAGTAGCCAGGGTTTCAGGATCAGAAACGTTTCCTCTATGCAAGGAACTGGGGTCTAAGATCTCCTCAGCAAACTATCACAGAACAGACACAGTGGACTGCTTTCCACTTACAGCCTTTGCAGACAGTAACTGCAGCTCCAAAGATGAAGCCTCCAAAGACGCTGCCTACTAAAATCAGAAGTGCTTTGGCAAGTGTGGTACAGGATTTCGGGATAAGTCCTGAGGGGACTTGACCGACCTTGTCAGATAGAAAAGTTACATTTCAGGATATATAGGTCTTGCTTTATCTTGGCCTTAACCATCCAGCAGAAAAGTACAGAAACAAGGTATGAAAAGTGAAGCCATGTTAATATACTGAGCTGTGGAAGGCTCAAGTCATCAGATTCGGACATTGCCAGTCCTGTGGATAACCCACTACTATTGTGGACTACTGGACTATATCGGAATATTTTGCTGAATTCATTCACCTACAGTATTTGGATGGCAATAGAATACCCTTCTCTGACAAAACTAAACAATAAAAGAAATATAAATGAAGGACAATTTTGTATCTGTATGTACAAAATAGCTATGATAGATATATAGCCACTTTCTCTTAATTCAATAAGAAGAAAGACTTGTACTAATAGTGTTTGGACGGGATATCATATCTGCATCTTATGTTATGAATGACTACTACAAAGACAACAATATGCAATGCATTAATTGTTGTAACTCACCTACCAACCTGTTTTGAAACTGTCTCATTGCAATTTTTTTCTCAATAACATTAATAAAAAAAGAGGTGGGTTCTAGAGCCAAGCATCCTGGGACTGCATCCCAGCTTCAGCACACATCAATCAGCCCTTTGACTTGGGACTCTCTGTGCCTCAGTTTCACCATGAGTGCCTGGGGGTATAAAGTGCCTAGCTCAAAGGGGTATAGTTAATGCTATGAGAATATTAGCTGCTGTTATTCAGATGGGATCTACCTAGCAATAATAGTCTGCAGTCAGCCAAGGCCTATCCTAATAATGTATCCTCTCGAAAAGATTAATAATCAATTAAGATTTATTGGGTAATGGACACATGGTGCAGAGAAGTAAGTAGTACAGGCCTGTCACTATCCACACACACACACACACAAGAAGTACTTTTACCCCCAGCTAGACTATTCTAGATCCCTCCAGACTTCTACAGTTAAATTCTAAGCATGTGAATAACTGAGCTGCTATTTATCAGACTTCTGCACCACAGATGTAACAGCCACCTACCACTTTTCCCAAACCTCAGGACTTAAGCATCTCTTGCTGTCCCCGCTAGGATTCTGCAGCCGGCTGGGGGAAGGCAGGACCTTGCAAACAGATCGCCAGCATCGCCAACCCAGCCCACCCCGACAGGGACCCCAGGGCACTCACGCTGCGGTGGCTGCGGCCTAGAACAGGGCCGAGGTGGCACCGGGCGCCTCTGTAGCGGCGGGGGCGCGGTGAGTTGGCTACAAGCGCGGAAAGAACGAGATCGGAGGGCGTCGGCGCCTCACCGTGACTCAGCGCTTCTCTGCGCCCGGCCTCAGTCAGGGACGCGGGAGTCCCTGCGTCTTGGGGGAGGGGAAGGGGGGCTGGGCAGAGGCGACACCCTATTTACCCTCGGCACCGATCCTTTCGCCTGCTGTGTGCCTCTCCCGGTTCTGCGGCCCTCTAGCCTGGCACTCCTTCCGTGCTACGTAGAGGAGATGCGCTCCCCGGCCACGAGGGGGCGCGCTGGGCCCGGAAAAGGGTGTCAGAGCTGGGCAGGTTCTCAACAGAACTGGCTCAGGGTTCAACTTTGCCGGAAAGCAGTCTAACTGGAGTCTACTTGTCTCTCATCCCGCAGAGCTGGGCTGCACGGTGAACCCCTTGCAGGCATCCCTTGATGGGACGTTAGGCAGGTGGTTCAGCCCCTCTAGGCCTCTAATTCCTCCTGGATGAAATGAGGATGGTGAGGAAATAAGGCAGCACCAAGCTCGCAGGGCCACAGTGCGAGTGAAATGAGCCTGCAGCACCCTCGGCATGGCACCGTTGTTCCCCACACAAATAAGCCTTCCCGCTGTCATGGGGTCGAGGCTGTGAATGGGGCAAGAGCCAAAACATTGTTTCTGCTGAGGGAGAAAACATACATGCTGTTAGGACCGTTGGTCAAGAGCTTGGCTGTTACCTGGGGCCCCAGTGTTTATAATCCCAGCACTTTAGGAGGTTACTGCTGGAGGTCCACAAGTTCAAGTTCTGACTGTGCAATTTAGGAAGCCCTTATCTCAAAAACCCAAAAACTTGAGGATTATGAAGTTCAGTGTGAAGCCCTGGGTTCCATCCTCAGTTCCAAAAAGAAACAAATGAGCTTGTCCATGTACGGATACCCTGAGCAGGAACTGGAGACTCGGTCCTGGAAGATGAGGCGCCTGGACTGCAGTGAGGCGACCTGGTTTACTGCTGGGCTTATGAATCAGAGGTGCAGGCAGGACTGTGCCTCCTGTTCTGTGAACACCAAAAGGTGCCTGCTCTTGAGAAACGGAAAAACAAAGTGGGCAAACTGTATCTCTAAGGACCAGAGAGCAACTATTTTTGACTGTGCAGGCTGCACAGACTTTCCATGGGGCTTGCTCCAATTTACCTTTGCAGCAAGAAAGCAGATGCAAACAAATGGATATGGGCCAGGGATATAGCTCTGACGCACAAGTGCCTGTCTGGCAAGCGCAAGGTCCTGAGTTCAATCCCCGGTACCGCCAAAAAAAAAATTGCCGTAGAAGAGGCTGGGGGGTGTGGCTCAGGGTTAGAGTTCTTGCTTTCCATGCATAATAAATAAATAAGCCATCAAATAATACAATATTTTATGTTTAACACAATATAATTGCTTGTGCAACTGCCTCCAAGTAAAACAGAAGTATGAACACTGTCCAGCACCTTGCAGTCCTTGTGAAAAGATTCTGTGTTTTTTCTTTTTTTTTTTTTTTGATGGTAGCAGAGATTGTACTCAGGACCTTGTGATTGCCAGGCAAGCACTTATTCTACTGAGTTGACTCCCCAGCAAGATTCTGCGTTTCTTATCAGAAAACTCAATGTTCAAGCAATTGCCTGAGTCTGAATGCGAGTTCTCCCCTCTCACTCTTTCACCTGGAAACCCTGTGGATGCTGATTTCTACTGTCTCCCAATGCACCCAGTCCTTCTCATTCTGTCCATCTTTCCCAATAGCTACTCTACTCTTCCTGCCTTCAACCTTGCCACTGGCTTATCCATTCTCCAAGTTGTAGACAAATGGAGTGACAATTGCCTAAAATCTTTAGTGGCTTTTTATTACTCTCCATAGGAAGTTCTATGATATATTTGAACTAGCCTCACCCATAATATCTTGCTTAACACACACACACACACAGAGGCACACCCCATCCCTTCCCGCCAGAGCATGTTCAAGGCTCTGCTCCTTGTGCCTGCTCCTTGGGATTACTTTTCTGCGCCCTTGCCTGGAATTTTCTTTCCTTCTCTTGGATCTGGCCTAACTCTATTCATAACTTAGCCTGTAGGGCGCTCTCTCTGTCTCTCTCTGATCATTCATCACTTAGCCTGTAGGGCGCTCTCTCTGTCTCTCTCTGAGAAACCTTCTATAGCTGTCCCCGAAGTCCAGAGGGGCTTTTTGACCTAACAATCTCGACGGCTACACATTGTTTCCCAGCGCCATTGCTTATCATCTTCTGGAAGATTCTATTTTCCTATGATGGCCCAAATGATATTTCCCATCTCACAAGCTCTTGTTCTGCAATGTGACCTTGACATTTCATCAAAAGTGGAATTTGTTTCTTTTCCTCTTCAGTCTAGAAGAGCTTGTGGCTGTTTTGAACACTGCAATGTGGTGGAAGTGACATGATGTCAGTTTCTGGTGTGGCTCTGAAGTGGCCTGGCAGCTTCTACTTCCTCCTTTGTGAAAGCCAGCTGCCTTGTAAGAAGAGTAATAACACTGAGATCACCTTTCTGGAAGGAGCTCATGCAACTAGAAAGAGAAGCCCTGGAAGACACACTGGGGAGGAAAGAAACAGAGGCCCGCAACACTGAGGCACGTGACAGAGAAGTCATCTTGGAAGTGGATTTTCCCACCCACAACTGCTCCAGCCCATGCTGTATGGATTGGGCAAGACATCCAGCCTTGTCCTTCCTGACTTTCTGACACCCAAAACTGCAAGCAAACAAAAGCATAAGCTACTTAGGTTCTGGGTATCTTGTTCGGCAATAATAGATACTGAAAAATACACTTCTATGTGAAAGGAGCAAAGAGGTAGATTTTTAAAGCTCTCCAGGTTAATGATAAACTTAAAAATATTTATCCTTTCAGAAACTGGATACATCCATTTAAATTATTACCCAGGCAACTGGCCTTCAAGCAAAATAAACAGTTGTTAAGCTAGACTTTAAAAATTAAATATTGCAACCCATTGGCCCCTGTGGTCACCTGTGGACCACAGGTATCGTCAAAGGCTCCTTTGTCACAAGTAGCATTTACAAGGACAACATTACAGTTAAAAAAAGAGAGAATGACTTAGCTGGTCACCTTCTCACCTCTACCATATCTGCAATACTCTTGGGGTTGCTTCAATTCTAACACCTTTCCAAGTGTCCTCTGGGACTCAAAATCCCCTCCACTCTGCAGCCATCACAGAAGTGCGAGCTTCTCCTTCTTTTGTCTTTCGGAAGTTGGTTACTGGTGGAATTGAAGTGGAAGAGAGTGCACGGCCAGGGCACAGCTCCCACATTCCATTTGCAGGTCTCCTTAAGAATAAACAAGTACAAGTCTGAACAGCTAGATGATTAAAATGAATTAAAATAAATGTGGAAGATGGGAGAATTTTTACAATTGAGAGACAAAGTCCATTCGTGAGAAAGAAAATGGGACACTGTACATGGAGCTTTGAGCCCTTTTCACCCTTCATTGGAAATGAAGATGGACATGAGAAGCAGGCAGCTGGATATACGACCGTGGGTCACCCTTGGAATTCAGATAAACATGAAAGAGAACTTCATGCTGATAAGGCAATGAGCAGAGCATTCCCCAAATGGTTCCAAATGATTCCATTACAATCTTTAACGACACCCACATGGTCAAACCTATTGCTCTTTTTCTTTTTAATCCAAAAATTTTATCTTCCTCATATGTAGAACTTGCTGAATTTCTTTCCAAAGATACATTTTGTACAAATGGACAACTTAAACATTTCAACATTTGCATTTTTTTTCTTCTTTAATCTATCAACTCAAAAGTTCTTTCTTGTAGATTTTCTTAATATGCCTCCTATGGCAGAGTAGCTGCTATTCATTAAATGATAGATATCTCTGGATTATTCCACATTAGGCAGTCAGACTCACTGAACCCAGGAAAGCAGTTGGCCCCACATCAAGGACTAATTCTTTTGTAAAAATTAATTTGTAAAGGTCTTTAGTATATTGGGTGGTTGAAGACATCTAAATATATCCAGTAAAGAGGGGCCCATGTGATTCCCATTTCCATCCGGGTGAAAGCACTCAGGACAGACTTGGTCTATTCTATCAACCAAGGTTCTGACCCAGAAACCACATGTGACTAACCATTGCACAAAACCCCTCACTGTTCCTCTCTGTTTTTCCCGTGGGTGTTTGGCAGCATCCCAGAGAAGAACAGCTTATGACCCTCTATCTAGAGGCACAGAACTTTCCTAGAATCTATCACAAGCAAAACAGTTTGACCTTGAAACGCTGATTCATCTCTTGAATGAGGGAAATGGAGAAATTTAGGTGAATGATTCCCCTGACACTTACCTCAATTACCCCGATAACCTTTCTCAGTTTTCAGCTTTCCTAAAGTTGTGTCTTCTGGCCAAAGGAAGGTTGCCTTTGGAATCACAGTATTGGAGTCAAAATAAAAACTAATATGAAGTAAGCTCTAAATAATGTTGTGTCTGCTGAGGTGCTTATTAGATGCCATGTACATGTACCCTTTTTTGAATACATGAACAAAAACAATAACAGCAACATCAAGAAGGCGGATGGCCGGATGTGGTGGCACATGCCTGGAATCCTAGCACTTGGGACCTGAGGCAGAAGGTTCACTGCGAGTTTGAGGTCATCCAGGGCTACAGAGTACAGTGAGACTCTGTGTCACAAAAGATAAAATAAGAAAAAGAAGAAGGAGTAGAAGAAGAGGAAGAGAAAGAGGAACGGGAGGAGAAAGATGTAGAATGAATAGATATATGAAAAAGTAATTGCAGTAAAATGGTAATCATAGACTCGAGATGATGGTGTACAAGTGATTTAACTTTTTAACTCTTCTTTATGTTGAAATTTTTCATTATAAAATTTTGACGGCTAATAATCAAATCAAAGTGGGAATCCGAGCTAGAAGGAGTCCATAAAGTTATCCCACTTCTGCTTACTTTCTTTGCCTCCACCTCTGGCACCTTTACAAGTCCAACTGAATAAATACATGTAGAGTTGAACTGCTGAACCGAATCCCAAGCTACTAGGTCATTGTCGCAGCTGGTGAGATTCTTTCAGGGCACGAGTTAGAGAATTTATTCCGTGAAGGTGATAGTACACGTCTGAGACTTTGCAGGCAGACAGTCTCTGTCGTGTAACTATTCAGTTCTTCTGGTGGATGAAAGCAGCCAGATGTGATATATTCAAAAATAAATCTCCATCCAAATAAATTTTATTTATAAGAATAAAGTATTTATAGTTTCCTCCCACTAAAATCTGAAAGTAAAATTGATTAAATGCCAATAAGTGTTTTAAAGACTTCATCAGTGTCAAGAAAAGCCACAACACAATTAAACAACACACTTTCGCATACACCTGTACCCTCTGACTCGGGCAACTCCTTGCAATAGAAACAAGGCTATTAGTTTCACCTTTGAGCTCACTGAGTCTTATGAACAAGCATCCTTGGAAGAGATCTAGATTAATCCTTCATTCCAGTGAGTGGAAATTATTTGCATCAGTTCCCAACTTCCAAGCAGGTTGTTTTAGCACCAAAAGAGGTACATGTAGGAAATGATGGTGAGACACCTCCAGTGAAGAGATACCGATGGGAAAAGCTATTAGAGCCCCTGTGAGCTCGCTCCCTGGTAAGGAAAGACAGATATAAACATAATACATATGTAAATGGGTTGTATGATGATAAGTTCTATGGAAAAGAGATTAAGCTGAGAAGAATAAGGGAGGCTGGGCCTGCTGGGTGGAGTGAGGTGGTAGTATTAAACAGAGTGGTCTGTGTGGGGCTCATTAATGAGAAGTTATTTGAAATAGAAGCTGGACATGAGTAACCGAGCCAGGCAGATCTCTGTGATAGTTAATGAAGCAGAAGATACTGCCCATGCAAAGGCCCTGAGGCACATGGTTCTCAGAATATTGGAAGAGTAGCAGAGAGGTCATTTTTAAGAATGGAAATGAAATTATATTAGAGACAATGCCAGGAGACCAGAAGGGGGGCTATTGGAGAATTTAGACAGAAGAAGTAGTAAGGTCTGACTTACATGAAAAGAACCACTGTGGCTCCCCAGTGGGAGCATAGACTGAAGGAGGTGGTGATTAGAATGAGGGAAAATAATCAGGAGACTAATGCAGTATTCCAAGTAAGGAATGATGGTAACCGAGCCCGAGAGGCAACAGTAAAGGTATTTAAAAGCGACCAAATTTGGGTCGCGTTTAGACAATACAGCCACCCTGTACCACAAAGGACTGAGTGTTGGGTGTGAGAGGAGGGTAAAACCGAAGGGTGAGTCTACTTTCTCTTGCCTGAACAACTGGAAAGGTAGAGATGCCATTAGATGAGAGTGTTTCAACATAGGAACAGCCAGTTGGAAGGATTCATCAGGTCAGCTTTGGCCATGTTCAATATAGCTTATTTATTAGAGTACAAAATCATAAATTGACAGTGGAAGATGAGTGTGGAATCCAGAGTGGTCTTGGCTGAAATTTGAAACCATAAATGTATAGACAGTGTTTAAAGCCATGAGCTAAATGAATTTCTTAAAGTGAGAACAAACAGAAATCCACCACAAGCCAATTGCCATTCTCTCTCTCTCTGTCTCCCTGTCTACTTCTATGTGTTGCTCTGTCTTTCTCATAAAATGGATCCTACCAGGTTCTTTCATAAAAATGTAAACACAAGTGAACAAGCCTGTTCATGTAACGAAGTTAAATTATCCCATGCTGTGTCCCTTTGTCTGTTGCCAGCTAAAGGCTTGCATGAACAAGCTGGAGAGAAATTCCTAAGGGTCTTGCTGGGCGAAGGTGACAATGCAGACTACAATTCGAATGTATTAAATCATGTAGTTGAAATAGCAAACTGCCAGAAGTTAGGATTTCACTAAAGATATAGAAAATACAGAGCCAAATAAAGGTTCAGGAGAAGTAGCAGAGGAAGTAAATGAATAGAACAAATAAATAAATCTCTGACATTTTGCCTTAAAGGAAACCACTCCTCCCAGCTGCCTTTGAGCATTTTAAGCCCCAACAAGGGATGAAAATTCTAAAAGATTGTACCCAGGTGTTTCCACATTTATATCACCTCCCTTAAATTTATTTTTTATTCTGACATGGATCTTCTACCATTACCATAAAAGTAGTGGAGTAAATACAAATTGCCATATGGGAAAGGAAGTTAATTAGGAGAGTAGAATTAATTTACTGCACCAGGTTGTTAGCTACTGTTAGTCTGCTTCACTCCCAATATGTTTATCACTACATGCTTTATTCTCAGAGGATGGAGAGCTATTTGGAGCTCATCAGTGACTTTTATTTGCCATCAAGGTATAATCTATCCACTTTTGAATTCTTCTGAAGAACTCCTTGCCCTTCCCCACATTCTTAGTTCCAAATGGAAATATTTAACATATTTGCAAGTTATTTTTCACACACTACTGTAATTAAACTGTTACTGGTGGGGTTTACCCCACTAGGCACACAGCTCCTGAGATTTAGAGCTGCCTCTGTCCTGTTTACTCTTGAGTCTCTGGCCCTTAACAGGATGCTCGGCACAAGGGAAGTTCTCAATAAGACTTGACTGATATAGACAGAAAGGATGTTAATCATGTGGCCACTAAGAAAAATACCTCTTTGGAAGTCAGTAGCTCCACATTCTCCTGCCAACCCAACTTCATCATAACATCAATGCCTACAAATAAGTATCCAATGTTTTGTAAGTTAATATTGAATGTCCATGTATGTCAAAAGGATGGTCAATTTTCTTGGCTATCCACAGCAGAGCCTAAAACGTATCATTTGATTTGTTATACATGAACAATCAGAGAAAATGGTGAAATGAATAAGCCAAACAAGGTTTTGTGGTTGTTGTGCTATAAAGTGACAATCACACATTTTCACTGTAATCATAGTGCATTGCAGTTTAACAAAGCCAATCTTCTCCATTCTGGACTCCTAATCACTTAAACTGTGAAGTGTGCTCCTTTGGGGGTATATTAACTGTTCCTTTCTCTGGGTATTCTCTGTTCTTACTTTCTCCAAATGTGGAGTTGAAGTCTTTGTTGCTTATTCTCTGTGCACTTCGGTATTACCTAATGGTTTCCTGACTCTGGCTCCTGTGAGAAAAGTCAACGTCAGAAGTTGGGTTTTGCCAAGATATTTTCTTGTGCTTTCCAGCACAGAGCTCTATAAACAAAGGCAAGGTTATCACACATACCCAAGAGCTGCCTGGGAAAAGTAGGCACTATAGTTATCAAAGTTGGAACCTTTATGAAATATGCTTTTGTCTCCGTTTTCGTTGCATTCAATCAGCTCAACAAGTGTTGGCTAAGTGTTGAGCGTGGTTTCCTGTGGGATTGTGTAAGGCCCTGCAGGACAATAAACATTTTGGGGGCACTGAGTAATACAGCCATTTCTGACACAGCAGCCAGGAGAATGTGAGACAATTCACTACCGCTGGCAAGAGGAGAGCTGGGGTTGTGTTTCTGCAAGGAGAGACTACCTTCGCGGCAGTGGACCCAGGGGACAGACAAGCCAAAATGGTGCGTTTACACGATAGGTGGCTGTACAGTGTCATAACCTACAGGAAAACAGGCTTAGATCCAGTGTTGTGGGGCCAGAAGTTTACAAAATTTGAGGAACAGATTGTATGAAAAGTAGTACTAAATTATGAATACTAAATTATTCGGACTCTCCCCTTAGACTTTGGAAAGGGCCTTGGTAATCTCGGGACCAGAAGATAAAACTGTTATCATTTCATTGTAAACTTAGGCCTTGCTCAAAATCTCATGGGGGGGAGCTGTCAATTCCTAAGGAAATCTGCACCAGCCCCCTCAATCTTTGTGCTGTCTTCCCTGCTGATTTTCTCCTTACTATTCTTTGGTTACCTTCCTTTTATGACTTTTCATATTGGCTTTGTAATTACTTCCAAAAGAACAAAGGATCTGTACTTATGTCTTCTTTTATTTATATTTTTATAGCACTATTTCAGCTATAAGTATTTGTTCTTAGGTTTCTGAAGTTTCCCTAAATCAGACCTGAGGGTACTGCAGACAGAGATAAAAAGATGAGAGGGACGTGTACCATAGAGTTGGGACAATATCCAGTAGTTTGAAAGTTCTTGTGGGCCATGATTATTTCACTGGATTTAGATAGCTCGAACATATTGTAGTCTGTGGGGGTTGGGGAGATAACTTAGCTGTCTAAGTCCCTGCCTGGTAAGTGTAAGGATCTGGGTTCGATTCCTGTTACCACATGCAATGGTGGCCCTGGGTGCCGAGCCAGCCATCAAAACCAGGGGTAGTGGTGCACACTGTAATCCCAGAGCTGGGGAGGCTGAGCTAGGAGGATCACTACGAGTCCGAACTGCGTAGCAAGACTCTATACCAAAAAATAAATAACAGATTTGTTTAAAAAATATATTGTGGTCTAGACCAGAGCTTCTCGTGTGCGCAGGAGTCACCTGAGGATCTCTCGAAGATGCAGATTCAGGTTTCTAGGTCTGGGGGAGGACCTCAGAGTCTGCGTTTCTAACAGCCTTCTAGGTGGTATCAATGTGTCCAGTGCATTTACTGCACTTTGTGTAGCATCCACGAAGTCATTGAAGAAATATGATGCTGCAAATACACTGGCAAGGAGAGGCTGGTTCCACCTGACTTTTAAGATAGTTAATCGAGGATGTGTAACAAATGTCTAATGAAAGTGCTTCTGCTTTGAGCATGGACGAGGAGTTCTTCCTAACTCCTGTTACCACCTTTGCCCAGCAGCTGCAGGCAGAGCAATAAGAAGTGAAATTTGACCCCTGAGGATCATTTCATTATCTCTCATTCTTAAACTTTTCTATGGTCTATTTTTAAACTTTGCATAGGGAATGATGAGGACAAGGACATGTCTCCAAAGCATCTACGAGGGTGCTGAGCATTGTGCCGTCATTTTCTCTCAACTCTTCATAATCCTTAAAGGTGGTTACTGCTCTACTCCTTTACAGATGGGGAATCTGAGGTTTAGCAGAGTTAAGTAACCTGCTATGTTGCTTAGAGACAGAACAGGGATTTGACCCTACCCAAATCGCTGCTTTCACCCACCAAACCACATCACCTAAGCAGTGTTACTTGGGAAGGTGATTCATTATGCTAGCTCATGGGTATCACATTTTGGTTTCCTAAGAAATGTGCCCAGAAGGGCCAGCCAGATAGCTCAGCAGATTGAAGTGCCTGCTTAGGCAAACACAGGGACCAGGGTTCAATCCCCGGCCTGCCGTGCCAGCCCCATCCCCAGGGCACGCTGAGATGGCAACTGAGACTGGGTATGATGACACGCACCAATAATCCCAGCATTGGAAGGTTAAAAAACAGGAGGATCACTATGAATCTGTTCTGTGTAGTGGGACCCTGTAGACCTTGTACTAAATACATTTTTTTAAATGTGCAAAGACAGAGTGGTATGGGCAGAGAGGAGAGAGCAGAAGGAAAGAAATTGCTGAAACAAATAAGAGTTTAGAAAGGCTCTAAAGATTAATCTCAATGTAAATTTTAGCTTCTACAGGAATAGCATTAGAATTATATGTTCTTCGTGAGAAACCTGATCTTCTTAAAATAGCTGGTTTTTGTAAATTCATTTGGGAGCAATTAAGGTGTGGTGTTCCAAAGTCCTGAAGATTTGAGAGCATCAGTCCTAGCACGTGTTTGTCCATGTCATGCCAAATCAACTGTACCATCTCTGTTCTGTGGGACAATCATGGGAAATAAGGCTTTACCAGATCCTGTGGTGCTGGCATTTGTCTTTGGCGAGCATTCTAAGACTTTTTAAGCCACTTCACCTGATTCTGAGTTAAGCTTTTTGTTCCTATTTAAACTTAGCATTGTATTTTGTCAGTTATTAAGCAGGAAGCTAAGTGGACCTGCCCTTGGGCAAATATTTGAAGATTAAATTTGTCACAGGGCCCTCCAGTTTCAGTTTCACACACTGCCCCATCCGAACCTGGAACATCCTCCTCCTCCTTTGCATCCACCCCATCTACTGCCCTCCCAGCATATGCTTTATTTTATTACCTTGACACCAACAAAAATCTTTAGCTAAAAGATATGCTAAATATCAGAGGCTAAGCAAGCAAGTAAAGGTGCAAGAAACTGCCACACTCATCTCTCAGTTCTGAGGGGTAAAACTTTAAAGGCACTATTCTGAGCTAGTCAGGGAATAGGTTTTTTAATTGAGAGTCTCATTTACCTATATATGTATTTCCCTCTTCCTATTTTGCCTTCTGTTCCACTTAAAATTTATTGCAGTATTTGAGGATGCATGTTCTTACTGACTGTTAAAAAAAAAGTAGACTAGAATTCTGCTGTGTTTGTGTGTGCGTGTGCCTGTGTGTGTGGTCTGGGGCATGGACACCATGGCCTGACATGTACTAGGTAAGTACACTGCCACTAAGCTATACATTTACCCAGAATTTTGCTGTTTAACACTGCTTTGGGTCAGGGAAATGGCTCGGTAGAATAAGCATTTCCCTGGCAAGTGAAAGGGCCTGAGTTCAATCCCAGGTTCTGTCAAAAAAAAAAATGGCACTTAACACTGCTTTGGTGATTCTTCTGAAAGATTAGATGCAGGTGGCACCTTCCAGGAAGTTCTATTAGCAGATTCCTTTCACAGGTCTTGCAAGATCTAAATTTATGCCTTGTTCCTCAGACAGCATGCCTTATTAAGGAAATGGTGCTCTTCTCTGAGCAGATCTCTTTTAGTCTGTTTACTGCCATGGAGTGGACATTGAACCCAGAAGGACACCAGAAGCTGGTTCTCTGGGGTGTGTCTCAGGTCACTAGTTCACTGTTTCAACCTAGTCCCTTACACTGTTGGGGCTCAATGTTGTACTTATAAGATGATCTATAGGCTTCCTGCCAGCCTTGGCATCCCATGACCTTCCGTATTGAGATTTATGTCTTCTTTGGTTTAGAATGGTCTGCTTTGGTGGGCTTGGTCTTCTCTAACACTGGTTTTATGCTCAAGAATGTGGGCTGTGGAGTTAGACCACAGGATTTGAACTCCAACTACATCACACTAGTAGTGTGACCCGGACAATTTATCTATGCATTGCAGTTTCATCATCTATAAGGGGGAAATGAAGTTGCAACCTACTGTATAGTGTGACTATGTCACAACCTGCTCCATGGAGTGGGACTATCACCAACTACCCCAAAACATGGCTGTGTTAGGACATGCTGCCTTAGATAGGGTATTGTGGTATACCCTGTAAGTGAAAGGTGTCATAAACTATTCCATAGGGTGACCTTAACCAGTAAGTAAATTAACATGTGTTGGAGGCTCTACATAGTGTCCTGTATAAGGTGAGCCCTACTTAAATGTCAGATAGAATTATTATTACTAAAATCATTTGCATTGTGCAAGGGCCAATTTCAATGTCCTCTCTCCCATGATAAGCTTATTTGATTACTTTAGGGGCAAAACAGCTTTTCCTTCTTCACAGTTTTCACCATCAAGTGAGTGGGCGCCATTGGAGCACTTGAGTTTTTTCTTCCCCCTCTTCATTTTTTAATCTTGATTTGGTGCCAAGTGAATTTTTTCACTTAAGCCATGTAAAAGTGAAAGAGCTGTAACCTCTCATTTTACACATTAGGAAAGCAAAAGTTCTTAGGGAAAGGACTTGGTGTTGTGACACTGCTCACAAATGGCAGCCAGGTAGTCTCCTTCCAACCTCCTGAGGCCACCACCTCAACGCAACTTTACACACCTCTACTAAGGTCTGAAACTTGTCTCTCAACTTTATATGATGTCACTCAAGGCCATGGAACCAGTTGTTCAACGTCTGACACACTGTAGGCTCAAAGTCAAATGTTTCAAATAGAACTACAAAATTGAACTTCTTATTCTTGTTTTCATATAAATCCTAAATATTACAAGTAATGTTAATTGAGTATGTACCTTTTATGTATAGAATAGGTTCCATAGTGGTTGCTGCCTTCCTCTTAAGAAAATATTATATTGATTTCTGCCAGGTTTTTTCACCTCCTTTATGTTTTAATCTCTCTCTAGTTTCATATACTTATGGAAATAGGCAGCCTGGTGTATTTGGTAAGCAAATTGATATCTCTGTTCTATGTGGGTGGTAACATAGGAGTGCAGCCAAATCCTACAGTTTCTCTATAGCAATAGATTTCTATTTAGTATTTATTGTGTTTTAAAAGGCCTTTCTTCCCAACTGAATTTCCACATAAGGGTAAATGAATGAGAGTTTGTAGTCACTGGACAGGCATTGGGGTCAATAGTAGTGCTTGAGCCCTGCTCATTTATTGTCCTAATAAAAGGAGGAGACATTACATTTCTCAGTCAGCCATCACCAGTTGTCACCTTCTATAACAGCTAAGACTGGAGAAATACCTTCAATGTAGAATCTAGGCTATTTAGATTTAGAAAGGAGAATTTAGATAGGCTATTTAGAGGAGAAAGGAGAAGTACAAAGAAAGGACAGGAGGAAACAAAGGAGGAAACCAGGTTCAAGCCTGAGTGGGAACCAGAGAAGCTGTCACAGAAGAAACTGATCTGGGGATGACAAAAGTATGAGTCATCAAAACAGGACTCTTGCAACTTGGGAAGGAAGCCTCGGAGTCCACCTTAGGGAGGGCAGAGCTGTGAAGACATGGCAGTTCTGGCACTGAACAGAAAGTCAGAAGCACAGGGCTCTAGGTGTTTGGTGCACGAGCACAATAGATTACAGATCCATGTGAACCATCCTTGAGAAAGCATAGGCATGCATATATTGGATAAGAAAACTTGAAAGCTATCTTAGTTTGTTTGCTTGTCTGTATTTCTTGATTCTGTGGAATATATATATATATAGTATTACTTTTTAAGCAGAAGAAAAATTCACAAGGGCCAGAATTTAGGAATGAACAACTATGTGGAAATTTGACGAATTACATTTTGTCAGAGGTAGCCAAGCTTGTAAATCCTTGGAGACTTATGGGATGACAATATACTTGAGGGTTTGATACCTTCCTTTCTGCTGAATATACTTCTTTTCTGCAACATACAGAGGCCAATTTGTGAATGTGTTAGTGGTTTCTGTAGTTCTCCCTATTTTTATATAAAATTCTAAAAGATTCATATCTAATGCAATGCATGAGAATGTTTTATAAACAAAAAAGAGGACACAAATGAAGGATCATTTTGTATCTCTATATACAAAATAGGATAGATATACAGCTACTTTCTCTTAATTCAATGAGAAGAAAGATTTGTCCTAATAGTGTTTGGACAGGATATCATGTCTGTACCTTGCACTATGAATAACCACTATGAAGACAACAATATTCAATGTATTAATTATTTTTTAAATTACTTGAAATAGATTCTTTTTTTCCAAAATTTTATTGATAAACAGATAGCAATGAGACAGTTTCAAATCAAATCGGAAGTACAGATTCAACAAATAACTCAATGTATTAATTATTGAAACTGTCTTATTAGTTGGTTTTAAAACTGTCTCATTGCTATTTGTTTCTCAATAAAATTAATTTAAAAAGTGTGTACAACATCACAAAGTACTAGGGAAAACTGCATACTATCTTAGCCATTGGGATTTGCATTTTGAAAAGTATTTTTATGTCACAAATGGACTGAACACATGAAAAACTTGTGAAAAGCAAGTTTCCTAGTCAACTAACAAGATCGATTTAATAAGCACTCTGGCTATGGGGAATGTTTTAGCACTAGACATAAAGGAAATTTATCAAGTTTTTACATCTTTTCTTTTCTGATTTATTAGTATATTATTTAAAATGTAGAAACAGGGGGCTGGAGATATAACTCAGTGCCACAGCACCTACCTGGCAAGCTCAAGGTCAAGGTCTATTCCTAGATTTTATATATATATATATATATATATATATATATATATATATGCCAAGATAATTATAGTACTATTATACTACTAATTTCTATTAGTTCACTGAAAGGAATGGTTTGTGTTTATAATGTTTGATCGATTTTGTATACCTAGATTTGTAATCTGAGCAACTACTTTGATGATAACAATGTACAATATAATAACCATTGTTAATTTCCTATCATTTTGTTTTAAAACTCTGTATCACAGTTTTTATTGTTTTTCTTGTAAGATAAAGTAAAATAAAATGTAGAAACATACAATGCTGAAGTGCCCTATATCTATGCTCAGTGTTTGGCTCCACCAAAGAGCTCCATCACTCCCCAAAGGACAAGTTCATCATTTCCATAAGTCTTCAAGCCAATTCTCTTAGCTGCAGCCTTTGGAGGAGGAGTAAGCTCCCCAAGTATGCCTGGGTGTAGAGCTGCAGTGAAGCAGAGGTAGAAAGCAAGCACCCGGCTCCTTGTTCTCTTTCCTGTCTTTCAAACTAAAGCAAAACAACCAGTGACCACAGTGAATGGCACCCGTTGTACTCAAAAGAAAGCCTTCACTTTTCACTTTTCCAAAAGAATTATCCTTTTGAATGAGAGATAATATCCAGAGCAAGAAGTACAAAAGAAACTATGATGTTGAATGACTACCCCCACCCCCCATCCATATCCCAACCAATGCCCTAGAAAACATTTCCCAGAGTAACACATAACGTACCGATCTATGTACATAAATAATAAAAACTGATTTTTCTTGATTCCTGCTTTTTCAGTTGCATGGTCTATATCAGGAAGAAAACTGGCTGGGACTGTTAGTGGCTTGTTCAATAGCAGGCCGTCTTTCTTAGTTTCCCTTTGCTTCCATGCTCCCATAATAGTGGGCTCATCATTCGCCTGGGCCAGTGGGAAGTGTCCTTTAGTGATCAGGCAGCTTTACGTGGCACCTGCAGTCACCCAGACAGAGCAATGTCTGTGTGGGTGCTTCCTGATCAATAATGGTAAAGAGAATGCAAATATCATCCTTTAATGCGCAGCTGTGGAACAGCCAAAGGGCATATGAGTGACAATGGTGCCCTGGAACAGTAACTTTTTGCTCAGAGTGTGAGCTAAGGACCTACACATAGGCTCTTGGGAGGCTAAGGTGAGTAAAATTGGTTACCTTTCAGTCATCAAAGATCTTAAATATTGCCCATCTAACTGAAAATAATGATGCTGCTTCACAAGGCAAAGAAAAGAATATAAGAAAGTTTATTTCTGTACCTACTGCTTAACTTTACTATGTTTTTTTATTAGATCTGATATCAGAAGGGTACAGTGTTAGTAGTTGTAGAAAATAATACATTTATTTTTCAGGTTTAGTAGTAAAAAGCAAAGTTTATACTTTATAAATACACTTTTTAAAGCTCTTTTAAAACTCTTTTGATAACACTTTTGCTGTATTCTCACATTTCTTCCCTTTATTCTGTCTTGAGCATTCATTTTGATTTAAAATTCTCTGAAATTTTTAAAATTATGCCTGCATGTTTTATGTTGAAGATTTAGTCATGATCAAAGGCTGTAGATATCATTTACAATGATATCCACATCTCACAATCATTCAGATAATTTTGCCAAAACACTGACCATAATAATGGAGGAAAATTTCAGCTGATCAATTACTTCATGCACAATGAGCTGTCTGGAGTGTGGTTTTAAAATTTGTATTATATACTCTACTCAATTCAACAAACACAGAATGCTTAAGGAGTAAGGAGCATTTTGATGAGATGATCAAAGGATGGTGCAAAGGCAGTGGATATTCAGAGGGAAATGAGGTGAACAAATGTTTTTTTAAAAATCAACATATTTATGAAACTCAGAGCAAAAAATATAGATAGTGTGTACTTTATTCTATAATCCTAAATCAATCTTAATTTTAAAAATTAGCATTTGTACTACCCATGAAGGAAAAATAGTTGAGAATAATATATGAAGGCTAAGAGAACCTAGCTAGATACTACAGTCATTTCAATTGTTTTCTTTCATGTAGGATGATAATATGGATACAAAATCCATTCTAGAAGAACTTCTCCTCAAAAGGTCACAACAAAAGAAGAAAATGTCACCAAATAATTACAAAGAACGACTTTTTGTTTTGACCAAAACAAACCTTTCCTACTATGAATATGACAAAATGGTGAGAATGTTTATTCCATTATTTGATTTCTTTTATTAATTTTATGGAGAAACAACGAGACAGTTTCAAAGTAGGTCAGTAGGACAGTTATAATAATTAATAGATTGCATATTGTTGTCTTCATATGGTTATTCATAGTACAAGATACAGACATCATAACCTGTCCAAACACTATTAGTACAAATCTTTCTTCTCACTGAATTAAGAGAAAGTAGCTGTATATCTATCCTAACTATTTTGTATATACAGATACAAAATGGTCCTTTATTTGTATCTCCTTTTTCGTTTACTTCTGATACTCTACTGTTCCTCCCCTACTGCAGGCTCACAAAGTACTTGGTTAATTGTAATGAAAGTTTAGGTTTCTTAGTTTATATCGGAAAGATCAACATGCATCCTCTTACTACTTTGTCTTTGCTTAACCAAAGCACAATGAACCCAAAGGATTTTAAAATATTACTTAGCTTTCCTCAGGCAAATTGTAACTTTAGAATGGTAGTTCTCAACTGAAAGAATTTTTGCTTCTTTATGGATATTGCACAATGGCTAGAAGCATTTTAGGTTGTCACAACTAGTAATGGAGGGAGGCAAGTGCTACTAGCATCTGATGAGTAGAGGCCAGGGATGCTACTAAATAGCCTACCATGCACAGGATTGATCCCAGATCAAAGATTCATCCAGTCCTGAGTGGCAAAAGAGCTGACGATCAGAAATGCTGCTATCAAACAGTCTTAGACATAAAACTCTCTTGATACAGTTGAGTATTCTATCATAGTAGAAATACTAAAATACTGGTCCAAAATTGAGACAAAGTGAGTTTTATTTCAAGAGATAAATCTTTATTTTCCTGAATATGTTTGTTAACTACAAAGCAGGTGATTTGAAACGCATTTCTTAATTCACTAGTAAGATAAACTCCTGATTAAACACTTGCTTTTGGAGGAGTGTATGTTGTATCCACAGTTGAGAAACATATTCTAGTATCATTTAGTTTTGGCTATTATGGAGTAATAGAACATGATTCTCCACTAACCACTACATCCCTAAATCTCTCTCTCTGTCTCTCTCTCTCTCTCTCTCTCTCTCTCTCTCTCTCTCTCTCTCTCTCTCTCTCTCTGGTTTAACTGTGTGCTTTTCCCTGTGCATCATGGTACATCAATGAAGATATCATATGTTTTGTTTTTTTAATTTAGAAAAGGGGAAGCAGAAAAGGATCGATTGAAATTAAGAAAATCAGATGTGTGGAGAAAGTCAATCTTGAGGAGCAGACACCCTTGGAGAGACAGTACCCATTTCAGGTAAAAAAAAAAAAAAAAGATGGAGAAACATCACAATGGATGGATGGTTCTTCCTATAATATGGTCAATGTTGAACTCATATCATCCAGGAAAAATGATATTTCACATTTATCCAGAAAGGCAATGATGACACTTGGAATATTTCCAAATAGGAGGTGGGCATTTGGCTGAAATTCTGTCCTCCAATCTGCCTCCCCTGGAGGGAGAAGAAGCAAGATGAGTATAAGTTACAGCAGCCTGACCTGCCTTGGTTGGATCTGACAACCTCTTTTATCAAACTTTGCTGAGCTTTTGCTGTACTACAAGTAGTATGAACACTTACAGAGGAAAATACTGATATGTTCATGCTCCGAGGTGCTTGCCAAGGTAGCAAAGTGCACGAATGAGCGGAACATTATAGTGCAGTGCAGAGAGCGTGGGCATTAAAATGGAGATCAGCACTGTGGTGTTCCAAGAGGCAGAAGTTTCAGTTCTATCACCCACATGTCAGAGAGAAGCTCTTTGGATGTGTCACTCAGGCTGGAAAGGACAAATAGAGTTTCACCCACCAAAGATGGGACAGGAAGCAGGCCAACAGAAGCAACATGGGCTATGTCACTGACAGGTAAACTAGCGTCCTCTCTGTAAAAAGCAGTCCCACGAGAGAGTGAAAAAGAGGAGTATGCAGAGGTAGGTAGGGCGAGATCATGCAAAGCTTTGCACATCCTGCCAAGGAATTTTGACTTTACCCTGAACTATTCTAAATAGTGACATACTATGGAGAGTATGCCTACAGTGCTGTTCGACATTGGCTTGATCTAAGTCATGCCCTATTTTTATTATATCACAAATACCTTTTTTTTTTTACCTAAGGAAGATGAGTTACCTTTTTGATGTCCAGACTACCGGCTCTAGTACTAAGGACCCATGGAAAAGAATGAAAGACAAATATCCAGTTAATCAACAACCATATCTCCCATGTCAAAGAATATTAGCCATTTGAGAGAAATTGGGGGAAAGTGGGCTAGGGAACAAAGCTGCAAACCCACATCACTGGGACACAGGGTGCCCGATGGCATGCAAGCTTTGGAACTTTGCAGAGCCCCTATTTCCTCTTATGTTTGTGTAGCCATAAGCACATATTGGACTTGTTTTCGGAGTACATTCCCTCATTTGTAAAATAAAAAGGCATACTCATCTTTTCATAGAATTGAAATAGGATTAAAATAGCTGGGATTAAAGTAAATAGGAAAGAGCCCAGCAGCTATTATTTTTTAAATTGTGTGTTTTATTTGCCAAAAGTAGAACAAATCACATATTTTAAAAAGAAATCAACATTAAAAGGTCCAATAGGAAAATGAAAACAAGTAAAACAAACTAGAGAGGGGATCTGTAACATTTAATATTCTTCAAACATTTAAACAAGTGCCTTAGGAATGGAAAACAACATTCTGGGAACTTCTGGGGTACCACGTAATGCAACAGACAGAAAGAACAAGGAGACATAGTTTTACTCAATATGTCAGGTACTGTAAAGGGACAGAATATATGAGCACTGGCAAAGATGTCATGGCAAAGTAAACAACATTTCACTCCTGCTAAGGACAGAGCAGTTGAAGATTTTCCAGTAGGCTGTAAGGAGGATCATACACTGCTCCCCTAAGAGGAAATGTCTCAGAGAGTTCTGCAGAGCCTAGCCCATCCCTACAGAGAAGTCAGTGTTCACTCCTGTCAGATACATCATTGTGATTTTCCAAAGTGTTGAAGTGTCTGCAATAAAACACATCGAGAAGTGGAGGCTAAAATAATTGTATACATTTTCATCCCTTTCTAAAGTGTATAACCTATATGAACATACTCAGGTTTTCTTCAAAGAAACAGAAAATTTTCAGATGCAACAGACTTAACTATGATGCAGTTCTACCAAAATGCACATCTTTTGCTTTCCAGATTGTCTATAAAGATGGACTTCTCTATGTCTATGCATCAAACGAAGCCAGCCGAAGCCAGTGGTTGAAGGCATTACAAAAAGGTAATAAGAATTTCATAAAACAGAATCACTGGTGGGATTGTCTTAGGGCTTGGTGGAGGAAGTATACAGCAGTAAAAATGCCCAATACTAGAAGAGAATCTACTGATTTTCCTATCAGCCTCACAAAACGTGACAGCCGAAGCCAGTGGTTGAAGGCATTACAAAAAGGTAATAAGAATTTCATAAAACAGAATCACTAGTGGGATTGTCTTAGGGCTTGGTGGAGGAAGTATACAGCAGTAAAAATGCCCAATACTAGAAGAGAATCTACTGATTTTCCTATCAGCCTCACAAAACGTGACAGACTCATCTTCTGTTTGCATTCTCACTGTTACCTACAGGAAGCCCATGGATCGGATTCCCTTTCCCGCTCTGCACAGAGCTGTCTATTGTGTCTTCCCAGCAGCTCTGAGGAATCCAGGCCATCTGTTCTCCACCCACCCCACCGTAGCAAAGTCGAAGGCCCTGTGGGGCTGTGCCATATCCTATAACTACTGTAGTTTTGATGTTTATAGAAAATTATGTCTGATACTAAACATGTGCCATTTGCCAGTACTTTGTCAAGTACTTTTAAAACATTTTGATAGATAAGCCTCTTGACAATTCCATGGAAAGGAAAGGGGTAATATCATTCTCTATTTGCTAGACAAATGGTTTTTAAAGAAATCTGGCCAATGTCATATAGCTAGTAAGGGGGACTCAAACCTAGCTTTTTAACCAGAACATTATGATTATTAGGTAAAACTGGGGATTTAATGTAGTTTCTATTCAATGATTTTTTTAGGCCATCCTGATAACAGGACTTTTAGTAGAAGGAAGAAAATCATTAGTAATTTGACACTATGATGTTTCCCTCTGTGATATTTTAAAGATGACTATTGATGTGAGGACAATATTTAACTCAAATGAATGGCCCTGTTAGTGTAATTTTGGGTATTAAGCTTCTGGATGGAGAGATTTGATTTGATTTCATTTGATTTAGGTTTTTTATTATGGCTCTTTCTCAGCATACCTCAAATTACACACAGCTGCTTTACTTTGCTGTGCATCCCTTTTCCCACACAGGACTTAGTTTTTCCGTAGCAAGAAAGGATTCAGCAACCCATTCTGTAGAATAGTCAAGTGGCCATTGAGGGAGAGAAGCTTCCCTGTACCCATCTCCATGTCAATGAAATAAGAAAGACCTCCTTGGCATAGGAAGACAAATCAGGAGGCAGGGTTCGGTTTTTCTCTGTCATCTACAAGTAACATTTTCTGGGTCTCAGTTTCCACCCCTGTAAAATCAATTTATTTTCTCCTAGAGTGGCCATGAGCCACAAAAGAGTGACTCAAAAATATATTAAAGCATCACCCTACACAAACCATGAATCACTGTGGTGAACATGGGGCTTCCAGAAAGAATTCTGAGCTTTTTCTCCCCCATCCAGTCAGCTTTGGGGATTTTCCTGGGGGTCCGGAGCTATGGTGGACACCACCTATGTAAAACTCTTACTCATGCTCCAGGCCTCTATTTATGGGTGTTCTGGGGCCATATACGCAGTACACGTTGGGGTGGCCCCAGTACAGCACAGGCAGCTACAGCATATGGAATACGAAAGGAAAGCAGAGCGAAGCAAATTGTCCCACATGCAGCTGCAGAGTCCCCCATGCCAGGGCTGCCATATGCACAGCAAAAGACTTCAATCTGTTCGTAACACGTTGGACTGCAGAGAAAAAGCCACCAAGCAGTTTCTGAAACAAATCCATTTTTGTTCCCCCAGAGAAGCAAAGCGTGCAGTGCAGGGCCAGCTAGTGCATCAGCTTGGTGAGGTCATCAGGGGACAGGCGCCACCTCGCTGTCTGCTTGGTCACCTAGAGAAACCCCTGGAGAGGTGCTGAGCTCTCCTAGAAGTTCCTCTGAAATCTTTTGTTCATGTTACATCATCCAGAACTGTCTCTCATAAGCCTTTCTATTTCAAAGGAGCCTAGAGGAGTATCTACCCTCTCCCGGCCTCTGCTGGAAGATGATGAGAGAGAATGTGGGTGTGGGCAGGTTTGTTGTTTCACTAAAAACCCTGACTCAGGAAAACAAAGAGGTTCTGTCACACAAATACTTTCCCTTATGGAATTGCACTGTGATAACACTGATTTTTCCTATGTTTGTGTCTATTACTTGACTCAAGAATTATAAACTGAGTGGACTAAGCACCTGCTTTGGCAAATGCAGGGACCAGGGTTCAATCCCTGGTCCCTGCATGTCATGCTGGCCCTGCCCCCAGGGCGCACTGAGCAGGCAAAAACAAGTCCGGCTGTGGTGGTACATGACTGTAATGCCAGCTGCACACCTGTAATCCCAGCTGCATGCCTATAATCCCAGCACTGGGGAGGCTGATAGCAGGAGGATCACTACAAGTAGGAGCTGCATAGTGAGACCCTGTACCAAATACATAAAGGAAAAAAGAAATTATAAACTGAGATAGACACTTGGGACACAGATGTTTCTAGATGGTGACCTACATTTGGAAAGTTTGGATTCATTCAGTAGTGACTTCAGGAGTGTCAGCTGTCAGTGTGTTCAATTCAGTTAAACAAGTGTGGATAGATGTGTCCTTCCTTCCAAAAATTTAAACTGAAAGGGTTGCGGCAGAGTAGTTAGCACCTGTGCAGCAGAATGTAACAAAAACTTGGGCTTTTGGATCCGCTGATTTGATCAAGTTACACCATCTCAGTTGACCGAACTGCAATAGCCATGGTAACAATAGTGGCTAGCCCAAGGGGTGTTCCACACGCTAAATGAGTGGATCTATGCAAGGGAACTACGTACATGGAAGTCCTACCACCTAAAAATGACAAGAAGAAAATATTCTCCTGAAATTAGTCGCCTGAATATAGTCTTCTTATTGTCATTATTAGGTGGTGAGAATACTGTGTTACAATATGGACTTTTGTACTTGGTTAGAAAAAAAAATTGCCAGGACACTAAACCCATGTAGTAGAAAATACAGGAAAGTTGATCCTTGGAGACAAGGATGTGTTGTCTAACATGAAGGCCAAAGGATTTCCAATGATCAGTTGGGACCAAGATTAGAAAATTAGGTTTTATAATCTTGATTGTAATTCCTCTCCTGTTTGGAGATTCTTGTGATAATTTCCCTTTAATTCTCAGGAGTATGGTGGGGTTTTGTTTGGTTTTTTGGGGTGGAACCGAGGATTGAACTCAGGCCCTTACACTTGCCAGGGAAGTGCTTATTCTACTGAGCCATCTCTCCAGCCTCCGGGACTATAGTTTTTATGATAGAATTTTCAGCAAATCTGACTGAGATAAACTAAGGGAACGACATTACCAAACCCATGGTTTACGGAGCATGTATTTTGGACCCTTTACATTCGTTAGCATACATCCTCCCAGTGACACAGCAAAGCACTTTTTGGGATTTTTGTTTTGTTTTGTTTTGCTTTGCTTTTTTTGTGTTTTTGAGACAGGGTCTCTGTGCAGTTCAGCTGGCCTTGAGCTCACTGTGTAACCCAGGCTGGCCTCAAACTTGCAACCATCCTCCTGCCTGAGCCTCCTGAGTGCTAGGATTAGAGGTGTGCACCGTCACCCCCAGCAGTAGTTATTTTTGTATCCCTACAGTTCACAGAGTAAGTTACAAGGTCTTTGTGAAGAATAGTTCAGGAATAGTTCTAGGTTGGGATAGCTGTTTTCGTGTGTGACTTTGAGGCTTCCTTTTGATTCTATGTTTATCTGGAGGACTCCATATCATAAGTTCAAGAGCAGCCTGCTCCTCCTTTAAACACCAACTAAAGAGACTAATGTGTTAGATAATAGTATCACATTTCAAGAGTAGCTTTTCATTTCTTTGGCATAACCAGTGTCCTATTCCTGTTGTTTTATTAAAATGCACCTATGCCAAGAAAATTTGTCTCACATACCTTCACTCCTTAGTATAAGCATGTCAAACTATGAATGACAAAGGTTGAGAAAGTATCCTAGATCAAGGGCAACTGCACAACTAAATGCCATGTGTATTTCTAGATTGGATCTTTGATCAAAAAAAAGAATTGACTATAAAGGACATTGTTGAAACAAATGACAAGAATTTGAACATGAAATACATATTAAGCATATTATATCCATGTTCAATTTCCTGGATTTGATAGTTGCATTATTATTATATAAAGGAATGCTGTCTTTTACAGCCATTACATGGTGAAGTGTTCATAGGTGACATTATTTAGGTCATAATATCTGCTATCCACTTAAAACAATGATCAAATTTTTAAAATAATTATGAAATGTGCTGAGCATGTTGGCACATGCCTGTAATCCCATCACTCGAAAGGCTGAGACAGGAGAATCACTTTGAGTTCGAGGTCAGCTTGGGCTACAAAGTGGATTCAAGGCCAGACAAAATTGCATAGTGAGATTGTATAGTGAGACCCTCTCTCAAGAAGACAAATAATAATGATAATAACAATAATAATAGAAGCATGCATAGAAAAAAGAGAAAAAGCTAACTTACAATTAGCAATTGGAAAATCTAAGTAAAATGTATGTGGTTGTTTGTTGTACTATTCTTACAACTTTTCTGTACATTTAAAAAGTCTAAAAATAAAAAGTAGGAGAAAATGTACTTTATTAGAACCTTTCTTATTTTTGCTGGGATTTAGTCCTACCATCCAGCATCCTTCTGCCACAAGGGAACACCATGTGTACCCCATTCCTACCTTCCTAAATGTATTTCTACAGTCCTAACAGCACACTAATTTGTATATGCATTTTTATCTGCTTTCTTTAATTTCAAAGTGGTACATCATTGTACTGTTCTCATTCTCCTCCTGGTTAGACTCTTCTTATTTTGTGGTTTGTTAACTTGACCTTTATCCTTTTGGAACCATTGGTTCTTGCCCTTCGTTGCTGGCAAGGCGAGGTTTTCATTGTTTCGTGGTGGAAGCACTCGCCAAATGTGGTAGTTCTCTTGGACCAATATCTGCTGATGTCCTGTTTCCTTCCTGTCTGCTCCTCAGAGATAAGGGGAAACCCCCACCTACTGATCAAGTACCACAGTGGGTTCTTCGTGGACGGGAAGTTCCTGTGCTGCCAGCAGAGTTGCAAAGCGGCCCCCGGATGTACCCTCTGGGAAGCATGTAATGTGTGACCCCTTGGACTGAACACTGGGTGGATGATTCCTTTCTCAGTTACTCTTCTCCTGTTGCTGGGAAATAATCAACACACAGAATTAAGCAAGGAAAGGTTTATTTAGCTCACAGTGGAGGTTTCAGTCCCTACTCAGCTGGCTTCAAGGTAGAACAAGGCATGGCACAGGGCAACCTTTCTTGGCAGTGGAAAACAGGAAAGTGCAAAGGGAGGGGCAGCAGAAGCAGCACAGGCAAGCCTCTCTCCTCTCCTTACACTGTAATGCAGATTACTCACCCCAGGGCAGGAATAGCGCTCACACACATAACCTCAGCATTGGATCATTAATTAATCACAAGCTCTAGAAAAACTACCCCATGACTGCATGAGGCTTTGGGGGGACAACTAGACACAAACCATAACAATGTCCCATTAAGCCAAACCTGCCAGCCAGAACCACTTGCCAGGAAACAAAATGTGCTGGGGTGCTTGGCATCATTTCAGATGCTGCGCAGCAAACGAAGCCAATTGGAGAGTCAATTGAACCATGTCCATTAATGTAACAACAGTTTTAGTTCCTACCACTCAGTCATTTGGTGAGAAATATTTTAAAAATTAAAATCATTAATCAATTGGTGAGCTATTACTTCCTCCAATAATTCTTCCTAGTTTAGGATAAACTCTCAGGAGGTAGACTGTGATGTGAATGTCACCATGGCTCAAGCATCAAGATTTGCTACTTGGTTAAAAAAATCAGCTTTCTCTTTCTATAAATAACAAAAATCATAAACCAAAAAATCCTCAAATTATTTTTTTTAAATATAGAGTAAAAGATAAAATGTAAGTAACACTTTTAATCATATATGATGGGGTCAAGTAGGTATTAGCTATATGTGACTTTTCTGTCCACTACGAAGAACTAAGGGGTAGTGTCCCTCCACAATGCTTTTGTCTGTGATCAAGTATTTTTACCTATTGGACAAGATGACAGTTCTGACCTTTACCTAACTCCTTGAAAGGAGCCCCTGCCTCTCTCTAAGTCCAGAGAGAACACTACTTTGGCCTGAACCTCCTGCCCTCTGTCTTCATGGCATTCAAAACGCGTCCTGGTTCTCTGCCAGACTCTGAAGATAATGACACAGTGGAAGGGCATTGTAACTAATAATCAGCTGGGATATTGTTTATTTGCCCAATTATAATTTTCTCTTTTGGCTTCCTCTGCTGAGCTACTGAGCATCCCATGGGCACAAGTTGCAGAAAGGAAATATCTGGGTTTGACTGCTTCGTTCTATCTCCAAGATGCCCTGGTCCACCCCCTTTGTGGGCTACATGGCCTATAAGTAGATTGTCCATATTCCCCAGATTGTTTGGAACCTTCTCATTCTGTGCCTGGAAATCTGGCATAATTGTTTAAAGCCTAACCTTTCACCATCCAACATGTTATTGTTTGGTCAGTAAATGATATGGTCATTCCACTGATAAGAATGGGGGAGAAATATGTGGTAAGTTTATATATTCAACAGATATTTATTACTCATCAGTAGTTATTCAAGTATCCTGTATAAGCCAATTCAAGAGGCACCAGACATGGATACTGACCCATAGTGTCATCTATATTACCCAACAGGATTAGATAGCTGTGATCTAAACACAAGGTGGGAATGAGGTACAAATGTATAGCTCACAGGGTTTTAAAGAACTTGAATTTTCAATTCAGACTTGTGAAAATATCAATAATTGATGATGAAGGAATGTTTTTGAGTTGAGCAGCATCAAGAAAACCCTTAGAATCATACCAGATGTTGGGTCTAAATTCATTTAATCTGGAGTATTGTTTATGCAAGCTAGCTGAATCTTCTGGTTTTTCACACTGGGTGTTTTGTTTGCTAGTTTTATTTTAAGCTCCTTTCAATAGTGCCTTCCTTCATTTTTCAGATGCTGATCTGCACATTGTAAGCAATGAAGAAAAAAACAGAGCTCCTACTTTCCCAGAGAAGCTGGTAAGTCAACATATTCAAAATGTTTTTTCAGAGTCAGGATATATTACAGAGTGGCCACATTTAAGACTAGAAAATGTGAACTTGCTGGGTGTATTGGCACATGCCCGCAGTCCCAGCACTTGGGAGGGTAAGGCAGGAGGATCACTACAACTTGAAAACCAGCCTAGACTACGTAGCAAGATCCTGTCTCAAAAAGAAAGTCAAAGGAAAAAGAATGTTGACTTCATGCAGACTGCTTAGCAAAGAGAGAAATCTGGGAGCTGTCACTAATAACCATGGATGGTAAAGCACAATGGATTCAAACAGAACCATTGGGACATTTTATAATTTTCTATTAAATAGTCATAAAAAAGCTGGGTGCACATAAAAGAAGTCTTTAAAACAGCATCCACCTAGCAGGCAGTTACTACTAGCTGTCATTCTTTCTCTGCCACCAGCATGGCCAAGATTGCCTCATGGAAGTATCCTGTTGATGGAGTGGGACTCCACGGGCACCAGCACAAAACAGTGCAATGCCCTCTGTGATGCCTTCAAAGTCGGTCCATGGAATTTCTTCTCTGTCTCCAAATAAATTCTTTTTTTTAGCAAAATGATATACTTTATTCTGTTCATTTTGGAACCTGTAAACACAAAACTATAAAAAAATTAATACCTATAATCCCAGCACTCAGGAGGCTGACACAGGAGAATTGCTGCAAATTGAGGCCAGTAAAAATTTGTTAATTTTCAATCCCATATTCCTTTGTCATTTACAGATAAGCAAGCCAAAAATGCAGTTTCCTAAAACAGAAGTGTATCCCAAGAATTTTTTTTATGAATCAGAGCTTAACATTACTTTGTGTCAAACAGGCGAGATTTAAATATCTTAACTTAATAGTTACCAGTGATATAACTTTATAGTCTTCCAGGAAGTCTAAGATGATAGGAAGTTTTCCAAAGAACTGTTAAAAGCCTCGGGATTGTGCCCTCCCATGTCATAATCACATGACTCCAGACATTATTCTCGGTCACATTATCTCTCCTTTACTTAACTAGGGCATGCATCAGCTGTCATCCTGCTGGTCATGGAGAGACTGAGTTTCTTACTCTTTCAGGGTTAGAACCAAGGACGAAGGAGCTAGTGAAACACAAATGCTCATACAAAGCATTCGGTAGTGGTGGCATCTGGGTGAGTCACCCAGTGCATGGACTGTACTTTTTTTTCCTAGGGCAGATCTAGACATGGTGTTATAACAGGAGAGAAGTCCTGATATTCAACTCCTAGGTTTTCAGCCCTAAACTCTTCTACTGGATCAACTTACCCATCTTGTGCAGAGTTCCTTTCAATATGGTTCCCAGTCAACTCTTCACTGAGGGTAGAGTTGATCTACAGAAAATGAAACAAAACTTTGATTGCCCTGGATAAGTAAGGTTTAGAAAGCTTGCTCTCTCAGTAGAGCCTGCTGATCTTTTTTGCTCCACTTTCTTCAGTTCCTAACCAAATCATTCTGCTTTTTGAATTCCCAATCATGTAAGTGCAGACCTCAAACATGAGGAAAGGTATAAAATGACCTCCCAGTGGTTCTCTGGAAGCTAACCTAAAAGTAAGAGGATGTGTGTACTCTTCCATCAGGCCCATGATATGCAAGGTACTTGTTTACCACTACACATATTCACACACTCTTCTTTCTAATTAAAAAGCACATACTAAACTGGATGTGGTGGGGCACGCCTATAATCCTAGCTACTTGAGAGGCTGACACGGGAAGATCAAAAGGTCAAGTTCCACCTGGACATCTTAGCAAGACCCTATCTCAAATTTGTTTTTAAAATGTAAAAAGGCTGAATCTAAGTGATAGAGAATTCCTGGGTTTGATCCTCCATACCAAAAACAAAACAAAACACTCCATATGTTTTATGAACCAATATAAAGGACAAAAATAATTAATTATTATGGTAAGTTGAATAGTCGCCCCTCACATTTCATGTCCGCCCAGAACCGTAGAATAGGATCTTATTTCGAAACAAGATTTTTGAAGACATAATAGTTAAAGATTAAGATGAGATCATACAGGATGAAAGTGGGGCATAAGCCCCAAACTTGGTGTCCTTAAATGGTGAACAGACACAGACAGATACATAGAGGAGAAAGCCATGTGAAGACCTAGGCAGAGATTTGGGTTGTGCTACCATGGACCACAGAACATCTGGAACCACCAGAAAGCAAAAGAGGCAAGAAATCTTTTCCCAAGGCTATGTAAATCTTGATTTTAGACTTTTGTTCTCTAGAGTCTGAAAGAATAATTCTATTATTTAAGCCAGCAAATGGGTGGTCATTTGTTATGTCAGCCCTAAGAATCAATTCTTATGGCTTGGCATTTTCACTTCATTCTCAGTGGCATTGTTGTGTTTGGATGATTGCTCCCGTTCTAAAACTTAAAAATTATGATCTTTGGGCAGGGAGTGTGGCTCAGTGGTGGAGCAGTTGGCTAGCCTATGGAAGGTCCTGAATTTAGTGGCCATCCCCCCATCTACAGAAAATTATAATCCTAACAACAGTGTTCCAAACAGTCAAATTTGTAGAGATACAAGGCAAATAGTGGTTACCTGGGTCCAAAGAACAAGTGGGGACTGACTATAAATGGGGACAAGGGATCCTATTGGAAGAGTGGAAGTGTGCTAAGACTTGATGTGGCAATGGTTGTTGTTATGGTTTGTATGTAGATGTTCCCCAAAGCCACATGTAGTCATGGGATGGGCTTCTAGAGGTTGTTTTTTTTTTTTTTGTAGTTTTTCAGGGAAGGGTCTACAGGGTGTTCAGGGTCTCACTACTAGATCGGACTCACAGTGACCCACCTGTTTACAGCCTCCCAAGAGCTTGAATTACAGGCACGTGCTACCACTCCCAGAATCAACTGTTATTTCAGCAAGTTCTAGGGGCAGGCCTGGGGATCGAACCTGCAGCCCCTATGCCTGCATGCAGGTGCTTTAATCTGCTGAGCTATCTGGCCAGCCCCTGGGCTTGTAGAGTTTTTCATTGATTCCTGGTCCAATGCTAGGATTATGACTGCTGCACCTGTCCTCCAGCTTGTAGCCTACATACAATATAAGGGAGAGAAAGAGGCTTGTTCTCTGCTGCTCCTCCCCTTTTCACTCTTGCTGCTTTTGGTGTTCTCTGCTGCCATGAACTGTCACCCTCTGCCATGTGCCAGGCTGCCTTGGAGCCAGCAGAGTATGGACTGAAGCCTCCGCAGACTGTGAGCTAAATAAACCTTTCTTTCCTTAATTTGGGTTATCAT